CACACTATTACTGTCATTATTATTATTGTTCACACGTCGTACTTTTATGTTGCAGTGACATGATGGACGATGAGTGAGTGTTGGGTTAATTACACTAATTACTCATTTTGTCATTGTTGTTGTTTTTCCTGCTTTCATTTCTCTTAGTAACTGAAAGTATAACTAACTAACTAACTAATATCAGCGTCACAGTTTAGTTTCATTTTCTCGCCCACTATTCAGATTTGTTTTTTGTTAATGAATTATTATGATTTCACTTTTTCTGTCGTCAAAAAATGAGAGGGATGAAAATCTCAAGGTGGTAGGTGGGTGGAGAGGTTTATTCGGAATCAGTGAACATCGGTGTTGTTTCCACCCATGTATGTATGTTATAATTCCAGTAATATTTCATGTGTATATTCGCATACGAACCGAGACACCTGAAAAATTCTTGGGACATCTAATATCTTGACTGACTTTGAAGTCACCTCCTCTGTACATCACAACAGTCTTGTTTTGTTTTAGGAGTATAAATCTGAGGTGTGCCCCTCCCGGTCTTTGTAGTACTCACTGTCTTACCGGTCAGTAAAGAGCTGACTAAGATGAATATTAGATTAGTCAGTTAAACAATCAGAGATGAGCCGAAAATTATTGACTCCTTCTTTACAACAACAAAATAACCGACTAATTCCTTTTTGTTTCTGTTTTCCTCTCCACAATTTCAGCCTGATGAGAGTCAAAAACTTGAGAAGGTTGATATGTTAAGTCTTTGTTACACCGTATTGGAACTAGTTGCTAATATCGCTAAAGATAAACCCGGTAAGTGTGTTTCAATAGTGTGTAAATATTTTTATCAGGGAGAGGAGATTGTTTTGACTTGAGTACTAACCACTTGAAGCGGCCTCTTAGTTTGGTTTATAATTTTCGAAATACACTGAGTGGCTGGCTGGCTACCAATGGAGTAATCGATATCATGTGTTTGAGTTGACTGAACTGTTTCCACCATGTTTGGAATATAGTCAGCATGGTAGATGAGTGTCGATAACCAGGACTCGTTCACACTGCGTCACACCATTTTCACAAAGACATCAGTTTAACATATTACTGTGGAATGCACTTGTGATGCATAACTTACAAGTGAGGAGAGGTCACCATTGGGAATATGGTACATGATGCTGAGACTTTCGACTTTGTTGATTAAAAATCTGTTAGTTCAAATGATCTCATATTGTATTGTATTGTATTGAGATCTTAGTTATTGTATATTTAGTAGTGGTTGACGTTGACAACGAAATGTAGTGTATGAGTTTCCTTTACTGTTCGACTCGTCATTTAAGGCGTAATTACAAAGCTAATGTAGATTTAAGTCAAATAGTGTAGATACTGAGGACGCCGGCTGTTCCTTTTCAAACTTGTTGCTGTTTGTGTGGTGATGAATAAACAATGAAATCCAAGGTGTATTTGCGTTTTGTTCCCGTCTAACACTGATCGGTCGAACGTGTATGTATATAACTACATCCGGTGAGCACATGTCGACAACAGGGAATTGTGAAAGTACACAGAATCACTTCAAGTTACCTATAGTTTAATTGGATTGTTTTGTGACACCGAAGAAGAAGAAGAGAAAGGATTGAGATCTCAAAGTAGAATAGTTTTTCTGTGATTAGGGATTTCTCACTTTCTATATCAGCTATGAGTTTTGTGAGAATTCTAGCACTGAGTTTATGAACAAGTTACCGATACGTACCTTTTCAACATGTCATACAGAATGACTTGATGCTTATTATCCCCCCTTCTTTGTCTTTCTTCAATTCTTCATAGAACTACAAGCACGTTTGAGGAAATTAAGTCATAGTTTGTATGACGTGACTTCTTCGTCTCCTACCAGAAATGATATTCCATCATCTTCCTCCGTGTCCTCCCACTCGTCCTCCTCATCAACATCATCATTATTACGACCAACGTCAGCGACGAAGAAGCTGGATAAATCCACTAAGTCATTGCATAAAGTGGCCATAGCATCAACAGCGACAGCAGAAAGTCGAAAACGAGACTACGCGTTTGTGACGAATAAACTTTCTGAAGAAGAAGAATATTCTGTTGTGAATACTAATTCATCTTCTGAAATAACACGAATACTACCATCGTCTTTCTTCCAATCAAATGCCGATACAACTACCACTACTAATACTAATACCACTAATACTTGTACTGCTACTGCTAACATTCCTCAGTCTACCCAGTTGGTGATTGATGAAGACAATAAAGAGAATCAGATACCGAAATTGATTATTAAAAATGCATTTTAAATAAAAGCTGTTCAGTAATTAAGAACATTACCACGAATACCGTTGCAACACCACCAACAATCCCTTTTAGTTATGTGCACAATTCATCTTCTAAGTCTACTCCATTGCCTTCAAAATCATCATCATCATCAGTATTCTTCGTCGCCTGTTCAACTCCTCCTACTACCACTCCCCGTCCTCCTCTTCGTGACAGGTTGATGACGAACAATAGTCAACAACATTCGAATATTGAGACACATTCATGGAATAATAGCAACCAGTGGCTGTCATCAACACCGGTAGGAGAACATAGAAAACATTTGGATTCCACACTGAATAATTCTGATAGTGGCTTTCTCAGCGGTAACAACAGTCATTCATCAGGTTTAATAGATGATAATCGAACAAATCACTTTGGTATTGTCAATGACGAGTATACTCAAGTGATAGAATCTATTAAACCTTTGGATACACCGAATGTTGTTCATTCTTTAACTGATTTACTCATGAATTCAACGTCATCACCGTTTCAAAAATTAGAAGAGAAAGAGGAAGAAGAACGACAACAACAGCAACAACGCTTCTCGGCGTTTCGTGTGCCTGTGAAGACTGCGACAAACTTTTTAAGTAGCAATCCCACATCGACTTATTTTCATCGACAACATGACACAATGACTTTCAATCCTACGACAACAACATCAACTACTTTTATTCCTTGTAATTCTAGTCATGACACCGTGAAGACAACTACTACTACAACAACAACATCGCCACCGATATGGAGACCATATTTAGACTAGATTGAAGATGTACTTTATTTTTTTATATTAGCGCCGAAAATCTGTTTTCATATATAAACAATTTTCATACTGTACATAAGACTAAGCCATACATCATAAGTAAATAGATGTCACTTGAGAATCTGCTTATTACTTTTTATTGCTAGAGATTGTATTCAACAAGATTTGTATTTGCTTATAATTTTTCGAGATAAATAGTTTGCAAATTTGAAATACATTGTTAGCTTCTTTTGATTTCATGTATGGGTTGTTAATGTCCGGAAGTGAAGAGGTATACCTCGTAGTTAAAAGCAGGGTGAGAAGTATTAACTTTCGAGTTAGAGTAGACCCTTCAATTTCTAGCAGGTATTCTAAGTAAAAGGATTATTTTATTTTTTGAGGAATTTAATGCCTGTATGGTGAAGCAGGAGTCGAGTTTAGTAATCTACATAGGTTTCTCAAGGTTGATCACGGATGAAATATCAGTTGGAGGAGGACTGAAAAAACCAAGGGAGTACTGGAGAGGTTTTCTTCCTAGTTTTGGACGCACGTGTGGTAAAAGCCCACCAGAGGGGTTCAAACCCAGGGCGTTATGCTTACAAGACAAACTGGTAGACCATACAATCCACTGGGACTCGGGTCAATGACCAGTCCATGAATTCTAACTTCTACCAATTCGTGATGCATTTAGCACGACCACCAACCAATGCCATCGGAGGGAACTCCATCCCTACTGCCGAGTGGATGGCGCCCACTGGTCACAACTTCTCACTAGAACTGCAGTCAACTTCGTCCTGTAGCCAGTTGTTCACTAGCGAGCATTAGATTCTCAGGAATGGTTTGTTTTTTCAAGAACCGAAAGCTCCTGGTGGTTCCTACCCTGACGATGTGTGCATACTGCCGATGACTCCTAAAATGGGACGAAACAGCTTTCAAGTTCTGGTTCTGGTTCTCATTGGTTCTCAAACTGATATCAATCCGTGGTCTAACCTGAAACAAATACAATCCCTACAAACTAATTCTTGAAAACTGTGAATGTCATGGATACAGTAAATATCTTAAAGAATAACTAACTATCTATTGAGAAAGTATGTCTTTTTACTACTGTTGTTTTATGATTGTGATTGTCTGTTCGTGTAGAATGAAGAAGCCTATACGATTAGTTATTGTTAACTCAAATAACCCAGATAAATTCACACTCTGATAATCTGTGAGCTATAGTAAAGGCAAATCAATGAGGTCATCAATTTCTCACCTACTTACTCACTCGATCAATCAATCAATCAATCAGCACAGTCCCCAAAAATTCCTGTCTCATCATTATTTTATTCTTTGTTTGTTTGTTTGATTGATGCTGAAGTTTAATCTGCAATGAAAACGATAATTTAAATGATGTTAACACAATACTACGCCATATCACTCACACACACGCCACTGAATATGATGAACTTATAATATGAACATTACATCGATTTCATAGGCAGAAGGACACATTCAGTGCTTCAATGAAGCGGTCGTATTGTCCTACACGCGTCCAGCTCATTCAAAAACACCTAGAATAGAAAGAGAGGGGGAGAGAAATGGATAGGAAGGAAATGAATATGTTAAACGCTACACTGAGTTGAAATTAGGAGGCTTTTCATAGTGGTTGAAATGACTCTAATTAGTGATTGACCTAATAATATATAAGTCAAGATGCCAGGAACACCAAAATAATTAACGCTTACACACACACTCTCTCACACACACATACACAAAGATATACATCCTTCAGTTTATTTCACGTTTTGAGCCTCAACTGTGCTTAACTGTTCCATATTTTGTTCAAAACAAAAGGGCATAAGATAGTACACGAGGTGGGATTGTGTCACTCATTAATCACACAGTTGGCCATACTTTTGAGCACCGGTCAACTGAGGATTACTCATCACTGCACCTGATGTTTGTACAATGATAAAGTGAATAAGATAATGACCAGTTACATACATTATTATTATTATTTTCAAGTGTTGGTTTTGTAGGATTTTGTTTGATTGTATGGAGGATTTATCATGATTGATATTCACCTAATTATTGAGTTAAATATCACACTATTGAAAGTGATTAGTCATGAGCAGTTATTCATTGAGATTTCACTCTGATTGACCTACATAGTTGTAAAATGTTGTTTGAGTATCATGCACAGGCCCACACACACACACACACGCATACATCACCTACGTGCAAGTGCATGCAGAACCTGTTTAATTGAAGGTTTAGAAATAGAGTTGTTGTTGTTACTGGTACAATATGAGTGAGTATATCATTCACTCATATCAAATTAACATGAATTTTAAAGTTCCTTAAGAGAGCCAAAGGTTATCTATTTGCCAGTGTGGCGTGTGCTACTGATAAGATTTCTCAGTAGTATATGAAGAGATGTTCATCATCAATCATCAGATAGATAGATTAGATGTTAGCAAGTGATACGGCGTTGTGGAGATGCATGTGAGACGTGAAAGGAACACAACGAAACACAATATGAAGGAAGGCGTTAAGTAGCACGACACATAAGATCTGTGCAAATGGTGCTTTGAAGATAAGGTGTAAATAATTTAACTATATAGGCATACCAAAGTGTAAATTAACATTCCTTTACCAAGTCTTTGTCTTCTACTGTTACACCACTACTTTATTTTCCAGCCTAAATGTTATTGAATTAGTAATGATAATTTAGTTGATAGGTTCATAAAATGAAGTTAGCGTTACTTAAAATACATATTACTCACTCAAATGATAACAGCATCATTGGTCCAATGGTAGAATGTTCGTCAGTCATGCACGTGGTCCGAGTTCAGCTCACGACGGACTCACTCCCAAACGTCTTCCAGTTTACTGACCAGAAGTAAACATGGAAGAAAGAGAAAGTCGGGCATGAGATTAACGGCTGTTTACCCCTAAAATTGACGCTGTTGCTATCACTAATGAAACTTCAAAATATGACGCCTCATGGCTTACTCAGAACTCAAGGAATGGAAGAAACAACAATTCCATAGCTTAGCGAAAATCTCGATGACTGAAGTGGAGTTGATACCAATGTAATGATTAGAAGTATGATTGTCTGACTGAGTTTCAACGTCGAACTTTGAGTAGAAGTGTAACACTTCATGTTGCCAAACTCCATGTCGCACAAAATGATACAGTCATAAAATCTATAGTCTTTAGATGTTGATTCTTGGAATCCTGCTGACTCAAGTCAGGAAGTCAGCACCTCCTTACGTAGCTGAAACCAACTGTCAACGACTTCATGGAATGTTACCTCGAACTCTTTTCCAACCTAATCATATGTCAGCCAACATTGATTGAGTAAGAAGATGGTGCCTTGGCATGTGCAACAGGCGTGTCACTTGACTCGCTCTCCTTATCTATAGCCCTACGTCAAAATGTAATGTTACTCGCCATATTATACAACTTTATACGGGAGACAGAACTCAAACACCTATGGTTAAAGACAGCTAGCCTTTCCAAGTCTTGCAGTTTCAGTGGCCTTGTCTGATAGCCTTAAAAATGGACACAGTGAACTACTCATCAGTACACAGATGCTCTAATCGATAGCTGATATCACATCTACGCCGTAGATGACATAATTTAGCAAATGCCATACAAGTCTTCAATATCCGTGCTGAAATTTCGTCAGTAATCAGTCAGTGTATTCGGGCTGACATGATTTCTCAAATAAGTGAAACGGTTGACACACTCCACTGTCTCATTTTCTATTTTGAAAAATGGAAGTTGATATGGACCATTCCAATAGGTAAGGCGTCATTGACTTGACTAAATTTTTCGACTTCTGTCAACATCATTTTCATCATCGAATCAAATATCTATGTTATGTTAATTTTACCACTAAATTATATCGGTATATTTGTATTTGACAATGGCATCTTAAACTAGACAACTAATCACAAATTTCTAAACTACTGCGCATGTGAAAGATTCACAATACGCACAAAGTGAAGTGTGAATTCAATTCATCTAACTATATTCGTTGTTAATTGGTGGATGGTGATTAGCAATGGAATCCAGGATGCGCATTTCTTCCTATTTGGCCCTCGTCATCTGGACGCACCTGTATTCCGTATTGAGTGATGATATTACCTCCAGGGCTCGAACTCAATATTTAATTTGTTGTTCCTGTTTTACAAAATATGTCTGCATTCCTACTGTTCAATAGGCTTGGTTTAATAGCAGACATAATTTGTATTCAAATTTCCTATTCAAAACCTGATAGTGTTCACGTTATTGATTTCAAATTTCATGTACATGTACAGAACAGCAGTGGGCTTTTTTTCGTCATATTGTTGTGTAAAATAAATGAATGTGAGGTGATTCTGTGTGTGTGTGTGTGTGTGTGTGGAGGCAGGAGTATTACAGTGAATCACCCCTTAATTATCTGAGAAGGATTGTTTGTGTAGACTACTGCGTTTACAAGAATGGATTTTTTGTTTTAAAAGCCTTCCCTCAATCTTAACTAATCAGTTGGTTAGATAACCCTTTCACACATAGAAAATTGTGATCAGATAGAAATTAATACTTACAAGAGACATACTGTTATACTGATCATAAAATTTGGCTTTCAGGACGAAGGAATAAATGATCATTGTATAATGTTATGATGAAAACAAGAATATGTGATATGAGCATGCTGGTAGGCTTGGTTATTATCTCCATCATGGCGAAACTGACGAATGAATGAATCTCATTTTAATCCTGTCGAAGGATCACTACATAAAACAGTAAAGTCGAATATGATGTGAGATCCATTTCATTGTAGTATATATAAAATTACACAGAATACATAGAGATGGTGAATGTTAAGAAATGTAGTAAGTTGTATTGCACAATCAAATTATCAAGAGTTTGTTTGTAGAGATTTCATTTGCTACAAGTTTGACCACGGATTCTAGTGAGAAGTCGTGAGCAATGGGGTCCACCCAGTCAAGAGTGAGGACATTGGCTGGTTCCAGTCTCACTAAAATCTA